CGGTGGCGGCGCAGGGACCCCGGACGCTGGCGCCTACCAGGGCGCGCTGCTGGCCCGCGAGCAGTACCCGGCCCCGCTCCGCCGGCCAGTGAGCGCGCCGTACCCCACCGCCTACCCGGCCTACGTGAGCACCGAGGTGGCCCCGTCCTGGACCGCCGGACCCTTCGACGGCAGCGTCCTGCACGGCCTACAGAGCCACCCGGCTGGCTTCCCCGGCCGCAGAACCACCTTCGGTGAGTGCGAGACTGGGGTGCTGGTGCTGCCTGGTGCAAACCCGCACCCCACGAATGCTTCCCGGCCAAGTAAGCCCCGGGCAGAATAGATGTCTGCCACCAGCTCACCCTCCTTGGGATGAAAAACACGGGTCCTTAACTTCTTTACAGTTAGTAAGAAAGTGTTCTTACCTTTCACTCCTCTGAGCCCCACACTCTGGATGTGCCGATTTAGAGCCTACCTCATAAATGCTCTTACGGAAAGTTTTGGAAGTGATTTTTATAAAATTCAGAATACTGGATTATTTAAGTAAGCCGCCACATTCATCTCTGTTCTAGAATGTTTACGTATTCTAGTTTGTGACCTGGTTTCAATTGCTCCCCCTGGGGTATAAATTTGGATAATCGGATTCTGGGTCTGGAAGGCAGAGATTTGTGAGGAGCCCGCACCCAGACGCTTTCTTACCCCTGCGGCCATGCCTGGCCTGCGTTTGCTGCCCGTGGGGACCAGGTCCTACCCCGCCGCTGGAGCAGGCCTCGCTGGCCCACTCTCCAGCAGCCTCTGGGCCCTGCTGGCTCCCCCGCGCAGGAAGCGGGGTCCCCTCCGCGGGAGCCCAGGGCAGCCCCACGATGATCAATCCCCACCCCACCCCCATAGGGTGCCTGGCCCAGTGTCTCTGCCATCCCCCCCCCGCGTGGGTCCCCAAGTGGGCGGCGAGGCCCCACCGCGCTGTTGTTCTGGCGAGGATCGTGCTCACCCCCGCAGCGCAGCTGACAACACCTGTGGGACGTCCCCATCCACTCGGCCCCTTGTCAATGTCCCGTGTTGCCGAGAACAAGGCCCTTCGGCCGCCTCCCTCTGCCAATGCTGAGGATCCTGCCTCCCCAGGGGAGGGAAGTTCCACCCGGTTCCCTGCTGTGCACCCGGAGGTTTGATTTATTAACCTTCCCCCACCCTACAAAGGCAACCGTAACCAGTTTTTTTTTAATCTGCCACCAACTTTGTTGTGCGTAAAGTTAAGATTTAAAATAAAGTCAAGGTGCACACAAAACAAGGCAAATGCAGCGGACGCTGTGGGTTCGGGGGAAGCGGGAGCCTGGGCCCACGAGTTGCCCGTCCCCGCAGTGTCGGACTTCTTGGAAGAGCTCCCCGGCGAGGGTCGCGAGTGCGTCAACTGTGGGGCCCTGTCCACTCCCCTGTGGCGTCGCGACGGGACCGGCCACTACCTGTGCAATGCTTGTGGCCTCTACCACAAGATGAACGGCGTCAACCGGCCACTCGTGCGCCCGCAGAAGCGCCTGGTGAGTGCGCGGCCCGGCCGAGTCCCCGCGCAGGCAGCCCATGGCGGGGCGGCAGGGCCGGGCGGGAGGTGAGGAACAGGGGGCAGCCGGCTGCTCCAACCGCGGGGAGCGGGGAGGCCCAGGCCCCAGGGCAGGACCTGCCCCGCTGCTCCACAGAAAGGAACCGAGGGGCCCCTGAACTTAAGGTTGCACGCCCCGGTCGCAGCCAGCCTGCTGAGGCTCAGCCCTGGGGCTCCCGGGGTGGCAGGGGCACAGGGTGGCTTGGCCCAGGCATGGGGCTGGCGGGGAGGGTGGCTGCTGGGTGGGGCTGGCTCTGTTGGAGGACGTTGAAATCCTACACAGAAGGGGGCTTTGGGGCCCTGCCTCTTGGGGAGCACTTTCCACCCGATACCAGGCGGCTGGGACTGAGACCGGGTCTATGGTTGCTCAAGGCACAAAACTTGTTTTCACTTTTGGTTTTTTCTGGTGTGTGGCTGGTGCAGAGTGGAGGACTGGGAACTCGACTTTTTCCTCCGAGCAGGGCAGAGTCCCCAGAAGCTGCGTAAAGGTTTAAAGCTACTTTATCCTACACCATCCCACAGGCAAACTTGGATGTTCAAGGAGTTTGTTAAGTGGAGGGGGCTGCCTTTGTTTGCAAGCTGTCTAAAGTTAAGGAGGCCCTAGTGGCTCCAGGGTCCACGGTCTGGGCATCGCTGTGTCTGGGGGTGCCTCCCTTCTGGTCTAATGCTGGCAGGAGCCCTGTCGGGGCCAGTCAGCTGGTTCTGGCCAGTTCTGGTGCCTGGGACCAGTGGGGGTGGGGTGGAGGGCTGGTCCCCCCCCGCCTCCAGTCCCGGGCTGCATGGTTCTCAGGAGCCCACCTTTACTGGGCTGTGGGAGCCCCCCGACCCTCCAAGGCCCCAGACCAGGCAGGCAGGAAGCAGGACTGACTCAGGCAGTTTGGGGGAAACCACTGTTCTTCTCCCCTGATCTAGCCTGGTGTTTGGGGCTCTGCAGGCCCCCCAGCTTCCCTCCACCCACGCTGTGCCTCCTGGAAGGGGGATACGTCAGAATCCATATCACCCCCTCACTTTCATCTCTGTCCCTGTGATCACGCCCCCCACCCCGACATGTGCCACAGCGGCTTGGCGTCTGATGTGGCCCTCACTGAGAGGGAAACTGAGGCTAGCAGCAGGAGTGTCCTGGGGGACGGCAGCCCCTCCCTGCTCCAACCACTCTTCCCCATGCAGACACACTGGTAAACAAGAAAAGGTGAGGGGCCTCCCTGCCTTTGCCCCCCACCTTGCACAGGGCTCACCTCCCAGCAGAAATCCCTGAGCTGGGGGGCAAGCAGACAGGCCACCATCGAGGCATTGAGGCATTTACCTTCACAACAGCCAGATGATGACCCCCAGGGCTCAGAGACGCTCGGAGGGCACACAGTGGGCCCTGGGTTCTGAGCAGGACTGTCTGCCTCGTGCTCACCAGGAGCCTGCTGGCCCTGTCCTGGGTCTCCTGGCCCCGTGGCCCCTGCACACACTGTCCCCCTGCTGTGTTGTAAAGATTAAATGAGGCAGGACACTTAGGCAGGCCTTGGCCAGCTCTGTGGACTGGCTGAGGACATGGCATCTGGCCTGGTGAGGTCTGCGCTTCCTGGTCTGGGGGACAAAGAATATTGAGCTTTAAGGAAGCTTCCTGGGGTGAAGAATCCCTTTGTGCCCGCCTATCTCCCCCAAGGCGGCAGGCCTCAGAGGGTGCACAGCCCGGTCACCCCTGTGTCCAGGCCCAGGCAGATCTGAGTGCGGAACATGCCTAGGAAGTATATGCCAAGCAGGGCTGGGGTCCAGGGGGGTGTTCACGTAGCCGTCCGTCTCCCGTCTGTCCTTGAGCTGTCCTGTGAGGGTTTCCTCTGACTTTTTCTGGGTTCCTGCCTGGCACTCAGGGAGGGTGGCCCCACCGCTTCCCCGTGGCTGGTCCCGGCAGGGCCAGGCTCATGCGGAAACTCGGAGGTTCTCGGAGAGTGCTGGGACCAGAGCCCGGCCCACAGGGCTCCCAGCCATGGGGGGACTGGCTGGTGGCCCCAGACCTGCCCCCAGCAGTGCCTCACTCTCCCTCACGTGTGGCCGAAACTGATGCCCCGGGAGACAACTGTCCTAACGTCCTTTTAAGTGACTAAGAAAGTTCTAGAAGCTCATCAGTAATAGGCACGCGTCCCCCTCCCAGCAGGAGCTCATATCCGTTTCTGCCCTTTGCATCCCGCGTGCATCCTTCGTCCCAGGCCAGAGCCGTTGACCTGAGGCTTCTGTCAGTGTGGACGAGTAGGTAGTTGTGGTTCTGCAGACTGCTGCGTCCGTGCATGCGTAACCAGGTGCTCTAGAGCCCCTCACACCCACCCCCCGCACGTCCGAGCCCCACGGCCAAGGCCAGGGGACGCTCGGGAAGTGGCCAGTGCCGCGGGGGGCCCGGCAGCCTTCGCCAAGCGAATCCGGACCTTGACGAGGACGCTGGGTTTTCCTTCCTGCACGGCCCGCCTCGCAGACTCGCCCTGGCAGGTTCGCCCTTGAACAGCAGGGGACACGCGCGGTATCAGGTTAAGTGTCCACCACGTATCCTTTTCCAAGAGCCTGGGAGGACCTGCTCAAATCGGGCCATTTTCTGGTGCTTTTTGGGAGCCGAGGTACTTACTTTCCAAAGTGTTTGTCTCTGTGCGCGCTCGCCTCAGCCCTGCAAGCCGCGCAGCGCCAGCCCCCTGTTCCTCTGCTCTGGGCCAGCCCCGCCCCTGGCTCCGCGCTGCCCACCGCCCTGAATTCTTCACTCGGATCCAGGCGCGTGCAGGGCCTAGAGCTCAGGGCAGCTCTGCTGCAGGGGCAGGCTTTGAAGCTTAACTTCTTTTGAAAAGAACAGACCAAAAAGGAAAAACAAAACTCAGCCAGAAGAGGCCTGGCCGTGAGGAGGCCCTGAGAGTGGCCAGGCCGGGCTGCTTGTCCAGGCGGCGGGGAAGGACAGGCGGGGAGGGACAGCACCGGGGACATGTCCCCGACGTGTGCTCAGCTGAGGGAGGCGGCTCTGCCCGCCTGGCGCCTCTGGCCTCCGTGTCCCATCTGTCCCGCTCAGCCTGATGAGAGAAGAGGAAAATATGAATGAGCAAACACTTTGAAATTGTTTTCCATTTTCTTAATTTTTATTTATGTCCACTGAAAAGTAATTCACTCCTAATCCGGGTTCCCGATTTTTCCCTCGCGCTCGCAGGGTACAGAGTGACGTCCGCGAGCTCCTGGGGCTGCTTCCCACACGCACACACGGCGCGGGCCCCACCTTTGCCTCCACGCCTGTGTCTCGGGCGCTGCGTGCCCGTGGGTCCCCGTCTGAGACGCACGGGAACTGTGGGGGACGTTTGTGGGGGGCGAGCCTGAGTGTGCGCTCGCGAGTGCCACCGAAAACGAGCCTGGGTTCAAGGCTCGCGCGGGCATGTTTGCGCCCCAGCCACTCGAGTTTCCTGCGGGAAGGACTTAGTGAGAAGGGGCTGATGGCCCAAGGAGGCGAGAGGCGTGGCAGTCCCATCTTTCAACAGTGGTGCGGTTTTTCTGGAAGGTGGGATGGCAGTATGAGCTCTAAGGGAGCTGAGATTGGTAGAAGTGCCTGAGGGTCCCAGCTGGAAGGGGAGAGCGAAGGCGCAGCAGGAGGTGCCAGATAAAATACCACTCAATTAAATGGGAATTTCAGATAAACAGCAACTAGCATTTGACTGTAACTATGTCCCAAATATTGCCTGGAGGCACACTTGTTCAGAGTACCTGTTGCTTGTCCGAAGTTCACATCTAGCGGCGCATCCTGGGGCCTAGGGCAGGTCCCCGGGCCTCCTCCCGCTTTAGGAAGGTGGATGGATTGTGGGCGGCAGGGACCCCACCTCACGAGGACAGGGGGCACCACCCCCCGTGGGCATAGCTCCTGGCACCCCAGAGACAGATGGGAGAGAGGGACAGCGCAGGGAGGGGGACGGGACAGGGAGAGGACACTCAAATCGCGTTCGGTAAAAGCAGCTGCTTTCTAGGCAGGGTCAGGCTGGGGACCCTGGTTGACTCCGGGTCCAGGCTCCTGCCTCTAAGCACACTCTACCGTCTGGCCGGGGCTGCAGCCACCTTTCCCTTCCGGTTCTGCTGGGGCCTCAGCTGGGAGCCAGCTTTGTCCACTCTAGCTCGCGCATGAGTCCAGCCCCAGGTGCCCCCAGGAAGACCGCCAGAGATCCCTGGGAGGCTAGACATCAGGATGAGGTTTCCCCCACCCGGGCCGGAGACTTGGCCCAGTCTTCCTCTGGAGTCTCGAAGGCCTGTCCCTTCCTTGCCTTTTGGCCCTTTTGTCCCAGAGCCTGGGGCAGAGTCTTGGCTGGAGACTGGAGGCCAAGCCTTTCATTAAATAGCGCAGAATTCTCTGTAGCCTATGGCAGCCTCCACACCTTCCAGGTGGGGAGGGCAAGGAGGTATTTTCATGTCTTAAGTTTTCTTGGGGATGGCTGGGCAGAGGGCTTGAGACCGGCTCCCGCTCTCCCTCCCGGGCCATTCCCAGGGGCAGGCCTGTACCTTCGACCAGCTGACCACAGCCTGGGGGAGAGGGGTGTGCAGAAGGAAGGGTCCTAGAGACGGTTGAAAGATGGGAAAGCTGAGCCCGGTCCCTTGTCTGCCACTCCTAACCAAGGACACACTCCTTTTGTGGTTGTATTCGGCCCCCTCACTTTTGATTGCCCCCCGGCTCCGTCCTGCAGAACACATCCAGTGGACGATTTTGATACGGGGTTCTCATGGGCTTCTGGCCTGGTGCCCCAGGGTGCCACCGAAACACCGGATCGGATGTGGCCCGGTCTGACGCCGGTGCCATGGGGAGAACGGGTCAGAGACCCTGCATCACATCGCTGTGGTCCGGTGGGCAGCCAGGGACCTGGACCGGGGGCTCAGAGCAAGTGGGGGGAAGGGTTGAGCAGGTTCACGGGCACCTGAGGGCCAGGACGGGGGGTGGGCTGAGCTCTGGCAGCTCACGGAATCCTGAGCGGGTAGAAGATCCCCTGTGTCAGGCCCACCCCAGCCCACCAGCTTGGCAGAGCCCCTTCCCAGGCCTTGTTAGGTTCAGATTCCTGAGCCCCAAATGACCCACTCTCTCAGGATCCCTGGGGTTGGTGCTGTCTGGGCCTTGCCAGGCCCCCAAGTGCGGAGAGGTTTGGGGTCCCTGGTCATATGAGACCTGCAGAATTGGGGGTCAGTCCTGCAGGGAGACGTGGGAAGGAGGTAGGCCTCTGGAATGTCAGGGCCTCACGAAGGTTCTGGATGGGTCCAGTCTTGCTCTGACATGCGACACAGTGAGCAGTACGAGGGAGGTGCGGGTGGGTCAGCCCGCCGCCCGCCCGAGAGTGGTTGAGCTGAGCACGTGCGCTAGAGCCTGTCTTGGAAGGCAGGTGCCCTGCATGCTTAGCCTGGGGCCCAAGCTCCGGGGGGGGACCCTGTGGCCCCACGGGGTTCTGCTCCATCTTAGCAGCCTGGGGTGAAGGCCCAGCATTGGCCGCGAAAGAGATAGCACCAGAAAAGCAGTTGCCTTTTTGTGTTAGGTTCTTCATGGGGTCCTGACCCCACGACAGGCGGGTCTGTTCTCACCCGCTCTTTACTGGGGGGGAAACTGAGGCCCAGATAGGTGAAGTGACCCGTCCCAGGGTTCGAGGTGCGTGGAGTCACAGCTCCAGGGAATGCAGGCGGTCCCTGTCAGGGGCAGACCTCGCGACCTCAGCGCCCCGAACACCTTCTCGCCGGCCTCGCGTGGTCCCGGGCCTGGCTGCCGGTCAGTGCTGAGTCCCGCTCGCAGCCCCTCCGGGTGGTGGAGCCCAGGGCACCCCCCCGCCCCGCTCACACCGGCCTCCCCGCCCCCATCCACAGTCCTCGTCCCGCCGCGCCGGTCTCTGCTGCACCAACTGCCACACGTCCACCACCACGCTGTGGCGGCGCAACGCGGACGGCGAGCCGGTGTGCAACGCCTGTGGGCTCTACATGAAGCTGCACGGGGTGAGCGGGCGTGGGCGGGGCGCGGGGCGGGGCGGGAGGGGCGGGGGGCGGTGTGTTTCCCGCGTGGCCCCCACGGACTGCCAGGTACTGGCGGGCCCACTGAGGCTCAGCCTGGGACAGGGGCTAGGCCCCCTGGTGTGCTGTCTGCCCCCGACGACCTCCCGGCCCCTACAGCTTCCTGGAGGAAGGGGCCGTGCCAGGGCCAGCAGCTCCCCAAACGGGGCTCTGAGGACACGCTGGGCTCCTGGAGGGGCCGGCTCCGCGGGGCTGACATTAGGGCACGTGGCCATGCAAGGGGCCCAGGGGTGAGCAGGGACGGGACCAGCCACCCGCCCCTGCCCACCCCTGCCTGCCCCTGCCAGGTGCCACGGCCCCTGGCGATGAAGAAGGAAAGTATCCAGACGCGGAAACGGAAACCCAAGAACATTGTGAAGACCAAGAGCTCCTCAGGTGCGTGGGACCAGGGCCCGTCGGGATTCCGGGAGGGAGCCCAATGCCCAGCCCTTGCCCCGCGGAGTCACTTCGAGTGTCTCAAATTCCACCATTAGACAGTTACATGTTTGGCTCCAGCATTGTCCTCCTGAAGTGCAAATACCCCTGATTCTGCCTTGGTCTTGTCTGGTCTCCGGGGGGGCGGCGGGTGGTGAGGGGCGGGAGGGCAGGCTGAGGATGCCACACCCAGGCCCTCCCATTAAGTGACCGGTGCAGCTCGATCTGACGGCTTCAGTAAATGCCCCACCTTCCAGGATGTTCAGGGAACAGCACAGCCTCGCCGCTCTCCGTCCCGGACCCTGAGAGCCCAGCGGCTACTTTGAAACCCAAACCAAGCCTGGCATCACCTTCATGCCCCGGGTCCAGCGTCACCTCCCAGGTAAGGGAGGTAGGGCGGAGTGGGGTGCCCAGAGCTGGCTCCCGGGTACCTCCTCAGGGAACCCCGACTCCCCGACCAGGTCAGACCCCCATCACGGCCCCCAAGGGCCTCTCCCAGGAGCTCAGAGCTGGGCACACAGGTGGTCATTGGTACCAGCAGCTGACCTGTGGCAGACGCCGGGCGTTGAGTCCCACATGTGTCATCCTGCCGATCTCAAGGAGTCCCCCACAGTTCCAGGGCCTGAGGAAGCCCCTTAGGGCAAATGGCCTGGTCCTGAGGTCTCCTTACCCCAAGCGAGGCCAACTGGCCATTCTTGCATTCCAATGCATCCCAATGCTCTCCCTGCAGACCTCCGGCCAGGCGGATGACCCCCTGGCCCCCAGCCACGTGGAGTTCAAATTCGAGCCCGAGGACTTTGCCTTCCCCTCCGCAGCCCTGGGCCCCCAGGCTGGCCTCGGCAGGACCCTGCGCCAGGAGACCTGGTGTGCACTGGCCTTGGCCTAGGTCCTCAGGCACCCACCAGACCCCTCTCACTGCCTGTTCGGCTCCAGCCCAGCAGAGAGAGACCACCAGGCCCACCCACCAGAAGAGACCAGCCAGTGGGACTTCGAGGGACCTCGAGGCACTGGGCATCCCTCGCCATGGGCGGGGGGAGGCCTCTGTACACACAGCGGTCAGGCCCCAGAGCAGGAAGAAGGCTAATGAGAAGAGCCTGAGCCCCCACCGCAGACAGCAGGAGACTCCCCCAAATGCTGTGCCAGGCTCTGACCAGGCCACTCCAGCCAAGGCTGACCTGGAGCACCCACCGCCAACTTGAGTTCTCTTGTCAACATTTGCCATCGCCATGTTTACATGTTGCAGAAGCTGGAAAAAAAACCTAACTTCCTGTCATAAAACCAGGATCACAAACGAAATGGCCGAGGTCAGGCCAGCAACATGAATGAGGGGAGTAGCCGGACGTGGGACCTCCTCAAGCCTCAGGATCTGTCCCTTTCTCGCATCTGATGGATAGAGCCAAGGCACGGAGAACTTCCCCTCCCATGAGTGAGGGACTGCCAGGGACAGATGTGCAGGTTGTGCACTGTACCAGGATGCCACCCCAAGGGCAAGCCGCTCACACCCTAGTCATCATCTACTTGTATATTTATTTGGATGGTTTTCCCAGAGAGGGCAGTAAGAGTCCTCATTCTGACTGAATCTGTGTATTGTGACCGTTTCTGACAGGCAGAGTAAAGGACCTGGGGCCCCGTGCTGACCCCAGAGGCACTGTCAGGGCCAGGGGCGGGGTGACCACATGTCCTGGCTCACCTGGGGTCAGCCCAGCTTAGTTTGTTGCCCCTGTGGAAGCCCTCCCCTCACGGAGTGGGGTGATAAGTTAGCGGGTCACGCTGGCTAGAGACAGCGCTGCCCAAGGGAGCAGGATGACTACCACTAGCTTGGTGGCGGGGAGGCGGTAGGGAAGGGAGGGAGCGGGGCGCACCGTGCCCAAGGGCCACAGCCTGGCTTCTGTTCAGCGGCTGCCTCTCGCCAGTGAGCCAGCTGCGGGCGCCCGCGTGTGCCACCCTGGCTATGGCTCGTCTTTCACACTGAAGAACCGTGGTCCCCCGGCGCCAGCTTCCGGACCGTCCGCCCATCCTGAGCTGGCACCTCGAGTTCAAGCTGCGCAGCTTACACCTGATCTTGTCTGTTTCTTCTTTTTATCAAAGACAAATGATGCCGTAAGAAGAATGTAAAATAAAGACGTTGATTTTGCATTTCCTTTTCCCAAATGCCTGTGGGGTTTTCCAGCCCGGTCCCTGCCCGCCAGGTCGACTCCAGGTCTGGTGCTCACTCAGGCTGTCTGTCCGTTCAGAAACTTGTCTCCACGCGTTGGTCTGCTGGACCTCGCTGGCCACTCCAAGTTGGCCAGGAGACCCTTAAGCACAGTGCCTTCGAGGTCGCCTGTCCGCATGGGGGAGGGAGAGGGACACGGGGTCAGCCTGGGGGGCCACATGTGGACTAGAGTTTGAGGCGCTGCCCTGCCTCATATGGCCGCGCTGGCTGGCGAGGAGGGGACAGGGACCAAGACGAGGTTTGGGGCACTGGGAGCCCGTGTCCCCATGTAGGTCTTGTGCTCCTCCCTGCAGGTCAGCAGGCAGACAGGCAGTGTTGGGATGAGCCCGGGGGACACAGGGACACGCATGAGTCAGGCACCCAGGCAGGCCGGGTGCTGCCACCTCTCATCTTCCAAATGTCCACAGAAAGTCAGTAGCCTCGGTGCCTCGGCCCCCATCTGTGAGTCAGGATACCCACCCCGCTACACAGAGGGCTTCAGCAGGGCCGCCCAGATCTGGTGACCTGATGGGCCCATTAAACGCAGACTCTCAGGGCCCGGGAGCCTGCATGGAGCCCAGCGCCCAGGGTCCCTGCAGAGCCACGTTGGGAGCCCTGTGGCCAGGGCCAGGCTACAGAGGAAGACCCCCGGGATGCAGTCTGTCTGACGAGTCACAGCACTTTCAGGAAACAGGCTGGGCAGGAGAAGTGGGAACGGAGTCACACCTGCAGGGTTGTGCCCGTGGGCGGACGTGCCGGGGGGATGAGGCTCAGCCGGGACATCACACCCCTGTCACGGGGCACGGGGAGCTTGCTGCCATCTCGTCTCCGTGCCCACAGGCCCCGGGCTGCCGTTCCCGGGAGACCGCTCACAGGGAGCAGGTGAGCAGCCATCCGGCGGGGCAGGGCAATGACCCTTCCCACCTGCTTGTGGAGCTTCCTCCCACCCTGCCAGGGTGCGGGGTCCCCGAGTGGGAGACCCAGATCATTACTTTGAGGGAACCAAGTGGCAGTGCCCTCCTCTGCCTGCCCAGCCCTGAGCAGCTGTTGGGGGGGACACGTCTGTCCTCCTGCCCTGTCGGGCCCAGCCCGTCCTCGGGCACCCCAGGCTCTGGGAGAGGGTAACGGGCCCCAGAGTGAAGGAGACGAGAGGCAGGAGACAGTGGGAGGCCACAGAGCACCCTCGAGGACCACATGGCAGCATGAGAGGGCCTGGGCATGGAGGGACAGCACAGCATCCTCATACAGCTGCGCTACCGCTTGGGAGCCCAGGGCTTCTGTTGGAGCCTCGGTTTCCCCATCCGTAGGTCGAGGAGGATGCCACGTGCCTAGGGCCAGGTCTGGGATCCACACGAGTGCGCAGCTGGTCCGGGCCTGGAGGTCCCTGGGGATGGAAGCAGCGTTCTGCACTACCTGACGCAAGGAGGCTTCCTGGAGGTGTCCACTGTAGGACAGGTAGGGTCCCCACAGAGAGGAGGAGGGACTGGATGCCCCGGCCCCAGGCACCCGGCCCGTGAACAGGGGTCCTCGACAGGAAGGGGGGAGGGTTGACAAAGAGGGAAGGAAGCAGTGACCTCCTCCCTGTTTTTGTCATTTTTAAATGTGTCGTGCCCAGGATGAGGGAGGCTGGGCACCCTACCTCTGGGCATGGGTGTTGCTGCTAATTTAAGCCTTTTCCCCAGTGCCCCTTCAGGGCCGGAAGCTGTCAGGACCCAGAGCCTTAATATAGCCGCTGGCAGCCCCCTTCCTGCAGCTCTTCCTCCCGCGAGCTCACCCCTCAGCCCCACCCAGCTGGTCATAAACAACCGGATGAGCTGGGGAGCCTGGCGGCGTGGGCAGCCCGGCCGCTATCGCAAGGACAGGACGCATGGAAGGGCCGCTCAGTGCGCCCTGCCTGACCGCGCAGTCCATTCCCATCACCTCCCAGCTGAAGCAGGGACCCTGGGTCCTGCCACTGTCCTGGCCACAGAACGTGTCCCCTGAACCCCCGCGGGTCCGTCCTGGGTGCCTTGAGGCAGGAGAGGACCCTGTCACTGAAGCCGAGAAACTGAGCGTCCAGGGCGCAGAAGAAAGGGAGACACCCGGGTCCCTTCAGTCGGTTTCCCTCCCCCCCACCCACTGAGAGCCCTAACACTTCTCTGCAGGTGCAGAGCCAGGGGTCCGAAGCACCCAGCGACCCCTGGCGGGGCTCCTCCGAGGGGACCCCACCCCCAGGTCATCAGGCACCCAGCCAGGGTCGGTGACAGCCACGACCGCGGCTCACCCTGCTTTTCCGAGTCTTGTTGCATTTAGCCAAGAGTGCATTCGGTGCCCACCCCAGGGTGCATTTGTGCCCTCGGGCCCTGGTGCCGCCTCACCCGAGCCTCCGCCGGTCACCTGCCCCAGCGTCACCCCGGCAGCGCAGCCCGGGGCACCACGTGCAGCTGGGCGGGACCTGAGGGCTTCCGGGGGCGCCGGGGCCACCACCAAAGACCGCTCACTGAAAACCGGGTGCAGATTCCCTAAGGTGCTCGGCGGAAAACCAGAACGTGCTTCTCAAGAAGGGAAAATGGTTCTTTGGCGTAAGCAGTGCAGGGTACCAACGTTTTATTTGACCAAATAAGGACATTTCTTAGAAGAGAACCTTGCTGTTGTTACCACCATCAGACACAGGCCATTCTGCCACCAGACGCAGCCGCCGCTGTCTCTGGGGACGGGACGACGCCTTTATAGCTTCTCGCTGTTTCCTCTGCCTCAAACCGCGGACGGCTTGTGGCGGCACCAGCTGCCATCCTCAGGCCATGTGGACAGACAGAGGACGGCCAGGCCTTGGGGTCCCAGCCCCCAAGTGGATCCCCGTTCGGCTAACAGAGGCCGAGAGGCCAGGTGCCCCCGAGGCTGCGTGGCTGAGGCGCCAGGAGTCCCCGTCCTTCTTCCCGCGTGCACTTAGGCAGAGGCTGAACTGGCCCCAAAGGGGAGGGGGCTGGCCGAGCCCCACAGTCCTGCTGGAGCCGGGGTGGGGGTGGCCGGCCCTCGACGACCACTCGGAGGCCATGGCAGGCAGCCCCCCCCTACAATGCCCTGCGACGCCCGCCAAGATGTTGACACGGACGGCTCTAGCCGCCTTATTTATTATCTGATAAAGGGCTCTCGGCACCGCTGGTGGACGGCGTCTGGCCGTGCTGGGGCCTGGGGGAGGGAAGCGGGTGGGTGGGAGGCCAGGAGGCCAGAGCAGGCCTCCACACTGGACTCTGGGGCAGGACGCACTGAGGAATCTGGACTTTTCCTGGCGAGCGGCTTTCCTTCTTCACTGCCCCCGAGCCAGCAGGCCAAGGAGAGCCCAGCGCCAGCACAGAAGGACCCTGGGCCTCCCTGTCTGGGAGTCACACTCCACAAGACCTGAGCCCCCATGGTCTCTGGAGAATCCTAGCCAGGGTCCTCCTCACCGTCGGCCCCTCCCGTCCAGCTGCCTATCCCCCACCCCTCCACACTTGGCCCAAAGCTCAGATTTTCCATGATGCAAATCTGGGCCTGTTTCTTCTTTGTTTCCAAACACTCACCCCAGGTACCAGCCCAGCAACTGCACAGCTGGCCAAAACCCTGACCACCCCATGACCTCAGGGCTCCCCTTCCCCACACCTGTGTCAACTCTTACAGACAGGGGACACCTGTCAGCATCCAAATGTGCCATGCCTCTGGGCCTTTGCACGTGCTCTTCCCTTGGGCGGCAATGCTCTTTCTCCTGTGTGCCTAACTGGTGACATGCACTCAGGGGCAAGACCCTCTGATGCTACCTCTTCCAGGAAGTCTTCCTCAGGCCATGCCAGGAGGTGTCTCCAAGCAGAGCCATCCCCACTGCTGGAGCTGCCCTTGCACAGGGAGACACCGTGTGCCCGAGAAGTGGGGTGGGGGATGCGACTGAGGGATTGTGTAGACTGAGCCTTCAAGATCAGAGATCCTGAGAGCACTGACCGGTTACAGTTTATTCTAAAACTTGTCTCCCCAAGCCTTGTCCAAGGCTTTTATGACCGGGAAGGAGGCCACAAAGTGATGAGCCCAGTGCTTGGCCAACACTCGGTAATGGTAGAATCCATGCGTGAATGGACCCGGTGCCCCTGCCGGCTCAGTGGGGGGGGGCAGGGGGAAACGGGCTGCCCAGCCCCTCCCGGGACCACCCGCCGTGGCGACAGGGGGCTTCTGTCTGTCCTCGGTCACCCTGCAGGGCTCAGTCCTGCTGAGGACAGCCAACGACGGGGACAGGAGGGGTGTGCTGGGGTCCCCAGCAAGGCAGATGTGAGGTGAGGGGTCCTGGGTGAGGCAGGATCCCCAGAAGCACGCTCCCAGGGGGCATCTGTGTGGCGGTGATCCAGACACGTGGAAGGGGGTGGGGAGAGGAGCGCCTGCCCATGCCGCTCCAGGCCTCGCAGCCCCAGCCTGATCCCACAGGTGCTCGAGCGAGGGCAAGGCCCCGGGTGTGGACATCAACGTCCACCCTCCACCGGGACGGCCCTCTGCACGCAGCAAAGGGCTTCAGGAACCCCAGTCTGGCTCCGTGGGCCCTCGGGTGGGCGCTGCTCCACGCACGGGGCGGGAAAGCACACGCGGCCAGGGCCAGTTCCAATAGCTGGGCCCATGAGCCTGGCCAGGGTCAGGGACTCGGCGGGGCTGGTTCCCATGCCCGGGTCACCAGGGGTGGGAATGGGGGCCCACACCAGGGGCCTTGGGAGCACACTCAGGTTGGCCACGGGGTGGGGCAGGCCTCCTGCCAGAAGGCTGAGCCCGAGGGATTCCGGTTCCCAGAGATTTGGAAATGACTCCAGGGGGGTGGGGTGGCTGGAGGGCCTCACGTCTGACCTTCGAATCCATCTTTTCTAAGTCATGTCTCCTGAGTGTAAAATGTGCCAAGTTGTGCAACGTACACATTTTAGAGATTACACAACTTTCAAACCCTGTTCTGGCATTTCTTCGTTTTTTAATAATATGCAGAAGACCTCAGAACAAGGCAGGCAGGGCCCTTGACCTTGACCTTGACCTTGACCTCTGAGAGGTTCTGGTGGCCAGGAATGGGGCAGATCAAGTCAGACCCAGAGCAGTCGTGTCCTTGCATGGGGATGATGAAGCCACTGTTTGTGCAGACGAGGAGGGGTGAGGCCGGGAGAGGGCAGCAGGGGATGGAGAGACAGACACACACAGAGAGTTGGAGAGACAGACATAGAGAGAAACAGAGAGAGACAAAGAGACAGACAAAACACAACTCTGACCCCCTGACCCTACCCCCCCTTTTCCCAGTGGCCCATCCTGGGGCTTGCCTGGGGCTTGTGTCCCTTCCCACTGTGTGATGCCTGCGGGACAAACCCTGGGGGGGACACTGGGGGCAGGAAGGACTCGGGAGTGCCTGGCCCCTCCCACCTGCACTCAGCCGGACGCACGAGAGCCACTGGGTTAGCACCTCCCCAAGGAAGACAAGGCAGGCAGGTGGCTGGAGAGGACAACGGACTGCAGCTTCGAGAGGCAGAGCCCACCAGGCCACAGGGACAGCGGGTGAGGAGCTTTTCTGAAGATTTTGACAGAAATACGAAAAGCCCTTCATGCCCAGTCAGTCAGCATGGCCGATCCCGGGCCAGGACCCAGCCACATCCCTCCTACGGGAATCTCTCTCCAGCAATTCCGAAACAGGGGATGGGGGGATGCGCAGAGAGTCAGGAGGGGCCCCACACCACTGCGGCCCTCCGGGGAGCACTCCCTGGTCATCCCGGGGCACTGGCCAGCTTGAGACTGACAGAACATGTCCTGGGAGTCCCGGGCAGGGCCCGGGTTTGGACGGTTTGGACATGGTGTCCCCAAGGAGAATGGGCAGCAGTCGTCTGCTCGAACGTGGCAGCCACTGGCCCATCTCCCACCCTCGGGGGTGAGGGACCGGGGGAGGGGGAGAAGGGGTTCTGGCTGCGGGCCGGCATTTCTTCAGTGGGGCCGGGAAGTCCATCCCAGACACATGGAATAGGATGAACCAAGTGTAGGGGGTTTGGGGGTCCCTTCCCTCCATGACACTCCAGCGGCTTCCGGAAGGATGGGGGTAGGCAATAGTCACCCCCACCGGAAGCCCCTCTGAGTACCTCAGTGCAGAGCCTGGAGCCCAGTTTAGGGAGAGCGTACGGAGTTTTTCTGGAGCTTGTAAACCAAACACGGAAAACCCTAGCACCACGGCCTCCTCCAGTCGAGGGTTCTGTGAGCAGGCGTGTGCCGTTCACGGAGTTGACGGATGGCTGCCCCTCCGGAGCTCCTCCAGGGTCTTCTGGTGGAAGATTTAAGACCCCGCAGCCCAGCCCCATTAACCTTCCTCGGTAAAATATTAGGTCTGTCGGCTTCCGGCCTGCGCCTCCCCTCGGTCAAGTTCTGAAGGCTTCCTGGCCCCGGCTCTGCGGGGTGTCCGCCGGAGTTCACAGCCACTTGCAGATAAACCTCCCTTGTTTATTTTATGAATGAGAGAGGACATTAAATACTCAAATAAAGTACATCAACGCACCCGAGGCCAAGAGACACTTACCGCACCAGCCCTTTTTCGGGGGCTCAGAGAACCCACAGCCAGGCCGGAGGGGTGGCTCCAGAGAGGAGAACTGGCTGGTCCGGGACATGAACAGGCTGGGGGGTCTGGGGATGGAGGGGTGGGGAGCTCTGTGCAGGGAGCATGGAGCCCCACACCGGGGGGCCTGTCATGGTCATCAGGCTAGCACAGCTCCGTCCTGGGCCGGCTCTGGAGTGGAGAAGGAGCCCCTTTCTGGGTCCTCCCTGTGACCCCCAGAAGGAGGTTTAGCCCCTGGGGATCCAGGAGAAGAGGAGGTGCTAACAGATCCTCGGGACCCCCCGGCCCTCTCCACGGCCCCCTCTATGCCACTCTCCACCACTCCCACCCCACCCTGACTGCGGGGGTTCCCCCCACTCTCAGCCTCGGCCCTGCTCAGCCCCTCCTGAGACTCGGCTACCCCCCCGGCCTCCCCAGAGTCCTCACATGTGTTCTTGCTACCCCGAGGGGCTCCTCCCCGCTGCCATCGCCCCCCAGCCCCCAGCTCAGGGCCGGGCACACAGCAGGTGCTCAGTAAAGACCAGTACTGGATGGAATTGTTGGCAGACTCCAGATGGATGGAGGTGCAACCTGCCCAGGGGCCCAGGGCCCACCCCTGTCCTGCAGCGAGAGGGCTGGGCACCACTGGGCCTCCCCTGAGACCCGGAGGACTCTCACACTCCCTCCTCAGCCAAGACAGCTCTAGGAGAACCTGGTCAGGACAGACAATGGGCACTAAAAATACACCAGGGGCAGGCAGGATTTCCCAGGAACATCTGTAAGTCCTGTCCGGCGGAAGTTATAAATACTAAGTAATGTTAATTCAGAGTCATTAGTCATCTGGGGACAGCCACGTCCTTTGTGGGGACAAGGGATGTTTTTCCTGATTCATAATTTATTGCTCTTTACAGTTAAATCTAGCTATAGACAAAAAAAAAAAAAAAAGGAAAATGAACAAAGCAGGGTCTTCCCTGGAGCCACTGAGAGCCAGGGCCCCGGGGAAGGTCAGGAGCAGGGCTGGGCAGGCCTGGGCCACCGCTGTCCTGGGGGTCCAACCTGCTTATCTTTTCCCGCCCCACCTGCTCGCAGGGCCCCTCTCATGGGATCGCTGGAACAGGCACTGCTTCCAGGGAAGCCAATCTCATGGGTCCCCAGGGAAGCAGGGGCGCAGAGTCTGTTCAGCACTAGGTGTCCCGGCACAGATCCCTCCTGACCTTGGGGCTGCTGGCCCCACTCTTTACCAGTGTCAGGCACAAGTCAGGTTTGGGGCCCCCTGCACAGAGTCCAGAGCTGGGGGCTGCGAATTCCTCTCCCCACATGTGTGGCTGGACTCGTGCCCTGCATGACCCACACTGAGAGCCTAAGCCCTGCATCTCAGAGCGTGACCTCATCTGGAAACAGAGTTGTTGCAGATGCACTCAGTTAGGCAAGGTCATTAGGATGGGCCCTCATCCAAGGTGACGGGGGTCCTTATAGGAAGGGGACATCGGGACACAGACACGCACACAGAGAGAAGCCCGTGTGACAATGAAGGCAGAGACCCGTGACACTTCCACAAGCCCAGGAACCCGGCGACCACCAGAAGCTCGAGAGAAGCCCGGGACATTCTCCCCCAGAAGGAACCAGCCCCCCACCTTTCTGTTGTTGAAGCCGTCGTCCATGGTGCTTTGTTCCAGTGGCCCCAGGACACTCACATCCCAGGCCAGCTCACCACCTTTCCGCTCCTCCACCCGGAGGGTCCCGCCAGGAGAGAGGGCCTCCCCCTGCTGCTGGCAGCCGCAAAACCCACAGCCCATATGCCCATATGGGCCCGGATCCTTTTACCTCAAAGGGCATGAACCTCACAACCGCAGCTCTCCTGAGCTGCCCGGTGTGCTGGTGAAGTGACCTGACCACATCCCCGCCCCCCAGACACGGGAAGGCAGGGTGCCCTCATCCAGGCCACAGTGGGTCGGTCACGGGCCCATGGCGGCAGAGGAGGGTGCACAGGGTTTGAGAGAGGAGCTGACCCTGACCCCGCTCTCAGTGAGCCACCCCGTTTTCTTCTGTGGGGCCATCACCGGGATCCGGAATGTCCTTACCACACACGTGTCTGTGTGCCGTCCAGCCCCGCGCTGTCTTGTACAGCCATGCCTCGAGCCACGAGCGTGACTGAAATGCCAGGCCGCAGGAAGACAGGGGCCAGAGACAGGCGGGATGTATGTAATAACTTATTTTAACCCCGTGTACCCAAACTGTTACCCTTTCAGCACATTAGTGCCACAGAAAGTGCTGATGTGACCCTCCGGTTCTCGTGTTTGAGCTGGGTCTCTGCAATCCCGCGTGTGTTCCACGCGGACCGGGCGGCTCCGCTGGGACCGGCTGGTCCTCAGCAGCCCCGAGTGACGAGTGACGCGTGACGCAGGGCCTCCGTGCGGACAGCACGGGGAGAGACAGCTCCACGGGGCTTTATCCCCAAACCGAGGCAAGGGTGAGGCGCTGTAGACACCTGTGCGCATTTGCTACTAAATGAAAGAGTCAGCGCGTGGACGGACGTGCAGTGACCCAAGCTGGCCTCGAAGCCGTAGTCTGCACCTGTGCGGGAGGGCGGGGCTGGGCGGGCAGGGGCCGGGCCCCCGCGCTCTCCGGACGGCTCGCTCCGGCACCCAGTCCCTCGCAGCCACGCCGGGCGCGCACTCACACTTCCTCGCGGCGCGCGGCTCCCGGGCGGTATGGACGCGGCGCTGCTCTACAGCCTGCTGGAGGCCAACTGCAGCCTGGCGCTGGCCGAAGAGCTGCTCTTGGACGGCTGGGGGCTGCCCCTGGACCCCGAGGGTAGGCGGAGGCGAGCGGAGCGGGCGGCGCGGGTTCCTTCCCCGGCGTGCTGAGTGCGCCCCAGGTCCCGCGCTCCGAGCGCCGCGCGCCCCCCGGCAACCCAGCTGAGCTCCTCTTTCTGTCTCCCGTCTCCCAGGTCCCTACTCCTACTGCAACACGACCTTGGACCAGATCGGGACGTGCTGGCCCCGGAGCGCGGCCGGAGCCCTGGTGGAGAGGCCGTGTCCTGAGTACTTCAACGGCGTCAAGTACAACACGACCCGTGAGTGCCCCCCGATCCTCCGCCGCGGGCTCTGCGCCCGACGCCCGGAAGAGCGGTTTAGGGAGCGGGCACGGCTCCGGACCCGGCGTCGGAGACCTGCTGAGGGCCGGCGGCGTCCCCTACCCTACTGTAGCCTCAGAGCTCAGTAAGGCGGTGATTTGCCCAGAGCCCAGAAAAGGAAGAAGGAAATACTTGCTCCCTTTTGAGGACAAATCTCTCTCACACGTTGTATACTCTGGGTGCCTGAATTGTTTAGCCAATGCTACCAGCACGAGGCGGGGCGGGGGGGT